CCCCAAAACCCCAAAACCCCAAAACCCCAAAACCCCTTAACAACTCATTCATATTGGGTTTATAATAAATTTACCAATCTATTGCCATAAAGTAATGAAGCCATCCCTTAATCATAATTCGTAGGGTTTGAAGCATCGCTAGTAACTTGATAGAGTGGCAGTCATGACTTCTTTGTATAATTCTATCCTAATTCCTGACCATGAACTATAGATGGACAGTGATAGAATGATGCAAGATAGAAGATTAACCTCTTTATCTCCCAAGAAGGTCTTAATTCCAAAGAAATATTTCAACAATCAGCCTATTTAATGATGAATACTACACTATCAAAGAGAATAGAGGGAGTAAGCAGACTTAGCTTTCTAGTTTATTTCCGAAAACTAATAATTTTCCTTTTAAAATAGTAAATTTTGTATTAATACATTCATATGTCTCTAAATAATTTCATAAATCTATTTATAGTCAACTTCACAAGAAGAAGTCCTTCAGTAGGGATTCTCAAGGTAAGTTTTCTGAGAATATAAGGATTCTAATGTAGTGTAGAAGAATATCCAGTTCCAAGGCTCTAATTTGGCACCAATAAAGTCACCTAATCTATTCAGAAACCAAGTAAAACTTGGACATACCACTTCCCAAAGTTTCCAAAGAAGTAGTATCTTGACTTCAAAAGACAAGAGAGAAGAGCAGAAGATGAGTGCTTCAAATGGGTTTTTAGAGAAAAAGAAGAAATTGGGTGAGTTGAACATCAAAGCGCAAAACCTCTTAACCCCATCTGAATCTACTCGTAACATCAATAACAGATATGAAAATTCTGGTCTAAATCCTGTTGGGGCTCCTCAGTATCCCCGCGCGACCTTCGATTCTAGAAAGAAGAAGTGGAACAACACTGAGTTGATCCAGAGTATTAACAAACTTATTAGGGAGAATTCTAATAAAAACAGTAGGCTTGCCTAATAATTTATCAGAGAGTATCCACCAAAGCATCAGAGATAAGCAAAGAATTAAGGAAAGAATACGACAGCAGTCAAAGGACCTTAATTTACAGAATGTGCTCAATGGATATAAATGAATAACTAAAGAGTCCCCCAAGCTTGGCAAGCCGTGAGAGGCTATTAAAAACCACTTGAAGCACTTACGGTCTGTGAGAAGCATGGATAGGGATAGCATCATCTCAAAAAATATGCCAGATGCTAGCTCTATTCATATGAGAAAGTCCCTCGAACCCTTGCAATTGGATAGGAATGAGTCAGACTCTGATGAAACATCTTCCAAAAATCATAACCTCATGTTTGCGAAAATGACAAAGACAGGTTATATCCCAATGATCCCTGAAACTAGGTTCAGAAAGAAGCAAAACCAAGACTCAGCGATTGTTCTTCAAAATTTTATGGGAATGAAAGATAATTACTTCTTCGGTGTCTTTGATGGACATGGCACAAATGGTGCTAAAGTGTCAGGGTTCTTAAAAGAAGTCATTCCCGGTGGTATAAAGAGAGTAAGCAATACCTAAAATATAGGCATATCAAAGATCCTGTGTCTCTCCAACCATAGATAGTAGCATAAACTTTAAAACGATGACTTCATGGTTTACTGACAAGAAAAATAAGACTCCTCAATTGGATAATTACCAGAACTTGAAATTGAGATCTAGAATGATTGAAGAGAGCATGGATTACACCCAGACTGAATTAAAATAATCAAAACATAGATATTTAAGTTCTCTGGTTCTACAGCAAATATTTGCCTCCTTGGACCTGATAATATTTTGACGTGTGCAAATGTAGGCGATTCAAGATCAATTTTGATAAAATGCCATAAAGAAGGAACCCAAGAAGAAGTTTGGTCCTGCAAACCTCTCTCTAGGGATCACAAACCGGATCTTACTGATGAGAAATAGCAGAATTATATCCAATGGAGGAAGAGTAGCATGTTATAAAGATGCTAAAAAAAAGAGTGTTGGCCCACAAAGAGTCTGGCTAAAGAATAACCAAATCCCTGGTCTTGCAATGAGTCGTTCATTTGGAGATGAAGTTGCACGCTGAGCTGGTGTCATTCATAAACCAGAAATCCAGCATTTTTCTCTAACCCCAGAAGATAAAGCTATCGTATTAGCATCAGATGGGGTCTGGGAATTTCTTTCCAATAAGCAAGTGACCAAATTACTTGTGAATTCAATAAAATGTCACAAACCAAAGAAAGGATGTGAGAGAGTTGTAGGGGAAAGTACCAGATTATGGAAGCTCAAAGACTCTATAATTGATGACATAACTCTTATCACAGTAATACTACCTGACATAAAGGAGCCAGAAACAAAAGAAAAAGGTTTACATAGCTCCCTCTCTCTGAACAGGCTGTCCTCTTGATAGAAATAACTATTGAATTTCTAAAATTTATTCAATTTATCAATTGAATTTTGGGGTTTTGGGGTTTTGGGGTTTTGGGGTTTTGGGG